AGACCTCCGGTTTGGCTTCCGGAGTTACCGTGCTAGCGCGACCTTTGGCCGCACGGGAAGTGGACTTTAGGCAGTCCCGGGCAGTGTGACCGGGTCCGCCGCAGAAGAGGCAGAGCTTCTTCTCCATGCGCCTCTGGCGTTCCTCGGAGGTGAGTTTACCATCTTTTCCGAGTTTGGACGTCAAGTCCGGAAGTTTGGCGGAGGAGGAAGCCGAAGCGTTTCCGGATTTTCCGCCGGAGTACTCTTTCCGGTCGGAAGTGGAAGCTGACTGCTTCGCAGGAGGCGCGGATACGGAGGGTTTGGTTTCGCGGGAGACTTCTCCCTTGCGTTCCCAGTATCGAGCGTCGATAGTCTGGGCGAGAGTTTTGTATTGGGACAGAGTGGTGGGTTTTCCTTGACGACTGATTTCGTCCTTGATGCGAGCCGGAAGTCCATTGTAGAACTGACGGCGCAAAGCTCCGTCGCCCCAACCTCGGACTTGGGAAGCTAGCCGCTGGAACTCTACAACGTACTTGTTGATGCGCTGTCCGTCGCGCATATAGAGCTGTTCCAGCTGCATTTCCGCATGTCCGACCGGGTCATGAGGTCCGAAGTTAGTTTGGAGTTCTAACATGAACTCGGAGTAGTCATCCATCCAATCCGGACGATCCGCTAGATCATCCGAAAGGAGGTCCGGCTCAAACCATTCAAGGGCCATGCCCTTGAGGTATGATTGCGCGAAGTTGACCTTAGTTCTGCCGGTACGGAAAGATTTCGGCTTAGCTTGAAAGTTAAGCTCACATTGGACAAAGAACGCCCAGAGTTTCCGGGGCTCAGTGCCATCGAAGGTATCCGGTTCTCGGACTTTGACTTTAGGATCACCGGATCCGGAGGATTGGCGGTTGTTACGCGCCAGGTTGTTGATGGCTTGGGATAGCCGGAGGAAGACCAAGTCTTGTGGACCTAGACCTTCGTTTTCATCGTCAGTCGGGTCTTCCGGAGGTTCATCATCCGGATCTCCGCCACCTCCTCCTGGCGGGTTACCGCCTAGGGCAAGTTCATCGTCGGAATCATTGTGCGGAAGATTTCCGGCGGGTGTGGGGGTGGGGGTAGACGGATGTGGGCGATTCATGAGTTGTGAGATGCTGGAGGCAGCACCTTGCGCACTAGCGCGACGCTGTGAGAAACTGAGGAAGGCATCGACTATGGGAGTAGAGTCGCGTCGGGCGGTTACTACACCCGCTGCATTGAGAGCGGTCTGTGCCTGTGTAGGTGCCATGAAGTCAGATGTAAATATACTCGGTAAGGTGTGAGTTCGAATATACTGTTAAGAACGTGCTCAAGGGTCGGATCCGAAGGGCTTGGCTTCAGCTCGTGCGCTGCGCCCCTTACCCGAGTACGTGCCCCTAACTTCCGAAGGCTGTTGAACAATGTCCGAAGGTTACCGGACGATGTCCGGAGGGCGTCGGGCGATGTCCGGAGTCCGATGTCCGATGCACGGGAATTCTGGTGGACATTCGGGAACAAGAGATAAGATTAATCCGGACGAAGTCCGAACTAGAAAGGAAACAGCGGAGGACTACCAAAGGTAGAGGCGGAGGTGATAAGTCTATAGGAGTCAATCCTAAGACGAGCGGAGGTTGACGAGAGAGAAACTCAAGTCGGACGGAGGAGAGAATGAGCAGAGTCTAAGATGATATTCGAACTGAGGAAACTACAGAGACTGTACAGGGGTTTATATACTACTGAGGACATAACGGAGAACAGTAAGTGCAGTGCGAAGCTATGTAAAGCTATGAAGAAAACATATGGGACGACTATCACTAGTCTATCGGAACTTAGTAAAATGAAGACGGAAATGAATAAGGAACGGAAAATAAAGTGTACTAACTGATAAGGGAAATACCAAAGGGATAAGGCGCGGAAGTTAGACGCGGGTCGGATCCGGACGATACATAGAAGTCAGCCGGATCCGGAAATCCAGAAATGATGAGTGTGATAGGTCCGGGTCCGGAACGCGGGATATGACAGTTGCCTTGGTCTTTGTCGGCGTGTTGACTTTAGGGGTGGAGGCGGTGGTTTCGCGGGAGTGGGACGATGGGCTTGCGGGAGGAGTTGCACAACGAGACGTGTGGTCTGATGTGTCAGTTTGAATAGTGCATATCATGACTTACCTTGTCAATAGGCCTCTGCATTTGATGGAAACAAGTAAATCTTGAAGCTTGAGAATCTCTGAGGCCGAAGTGGATCATCAAAGGAAGGTGTCAAGGCGCGCTTCAACAATGTGGCAAGCTTCTTTCGGTTCGCGGTTCGGAACGGTTTGGGACTGGTCCGAACCAAAGTCAAACTGTTCGCCCAATGGCAGAACCGAGAACCATACTATGGTCTGGTTCTGGCTGACATCTGGACCATGGACTGAACCACAGGAGAACCGGACCAAAAGTCCGGTTCGAACCATGGTTCAGGACCGGACCACGGCAGCACTATCCTTGACAACCTTTTTCGCCACTTGTCACGAAAATCTTCAAATGTTGCTGCTTATTATTGCTTATTCACTTGTCATTTTTCTTTCACAAGCACTCACAAGTAAATGCGTGATTCACAAGTGCCCACAAGTGCAACAAGCACCGAAAGCAAGGAAAACGAAACGAAAGTGTTGTAGATTACAAGTAAATAAAATAACTATAAATAACATCCAAGGCCGCTCGCAGCAGCACTCCTCGAACATTCGCGAATGAGACTAAGTTCTAGTAACTACCACTTGGAAGAGCGAGTTGCGGCACATCGCGGCGTATGGGACATCCTGGAAGTGTGAGAACATTGTCAGCGACTGAAAATTTCAACTCTAAACAACTTGCTCACCATTCAGAAAAATGACGCTCGCAGATATGGTATGGATGTTCGTACATCGATCGATGCAGATGCTGATGCGATCAATAGCATCGAGTTCGGTTCGAAGAGCATCAGCGGCCAATAGTGACGACAGACCTTTATTACACATGAGGGAGGCTGTTAAGAACGTGCTCAAGGGTCGGATCTGAAGGCTTGGCTTCAGCTCGTGCGCTGCGCCCCTAACTTCTGAAGGCTGTCGAACGATGTCCGGAGGGCGTCGGGCGATGTCCGGAGTCCGATGTCCGATGCACGGGAATTCTGGCGGACATTCGGGAACAAGAGATAAGACTAATCCGGACGAAGTCCGAACTAGAAAGGAAACAGCGGAGGACTACCAAAGGTAGAGGCGGAGGTGATAAGTCTATAGGAGTCAATCCTAAGACGAGCGGAGGTCGATGAGAGAGAAACTCAAGTCGGACGGAGGAGGTAATGAGCAGAGTCTAAGATGATATTCAAACTGAGGAAACTACAGAGACTGTACAGGGTTTATATACTACTGAGGACATAACGGAGAACAGTAAGTGCAGTGCGAGGCTATGTCAAGCTATGGATAAAACATATGGGACGACTATTACTAGTCTATCGGAACTTAGTAAAATGAAGACGGAAATGAATAAGGGACGGAAAATAAAGCGTACTAACTGATAAGGGAGATACCAAAGGGATAAGGCACAGAGGTTAGACGCGGGTCGGATCCGGACGATACATAGAAGTCGGCCGGATCCGGAAATCCAGAAATGATGAGTGTGATAGGTCCGGATCCGGAACGCGGGATATGACAGTTGTGACAAGAAGATGATAAGGGAAGAGAGTTTTGTGGGGGGAGGAGTGGTGGAGTGGGAAAAATCAGGTGTTTGAGAGTATACCTACTAGATTAATTGATGTGGTCTAGTGATTCTTATGAATGATTTCAACTTTCAAAAATAGAATGTTAATAATATCCATTTCCCCCCCAAGTAACACTATGCCTCCCAAGAAAAAAAAACTCGACTCAAGGCAGCTACATTTTCCTTCCAAGGAAGAGGCCATTTGTCTAAAGGCAAGGACCTTGATGTTGCCTATGTGTCTCATAAACAAGTCATTGGCAAGAGAAGGAAGCCAACCTGGGTGGAATCATGTGCTGATAGCCTTTATGACACTGCCCCAACACCATCTCCATCCTCCAGCCCTCGTAAACGTGTTAGAGAGGATGCTCAAGGATTGCAAAGCAGTCATGAAGATTTTGATAGAGAAGTCCTTGGTGACTTTGTTTCTTATGTAGAGAACCCACAAAGAAAAACCAAGGCAAGCACAATAATTCAGTGTAATTTAATTATGTACTAAATAGAGATCAATACGATTAGACACAAAATGACTTTATCCAAGAATATCTGCCTTTCCAAGACTTGTACTTGGATATTCTCCTTGACTTGGAGAAACCCTCCAATGTATCCCAGCTCTAGTCTTGTCAGATTGGTGAAGGGAAATTTTGCTGTTTGACTTGCAGTAGAAATCAGACATTCTGTCATTCTTGCATTGTCAATGCTCACCAGTTTTTGCCCTTCCACAAGGTTCAAGAGTGGAGTGGGAAATACTTCAATAACACATCACTTGAAGAATTGGGTTTTATCTGGCATATGGGCCATGGGAGACAACCATGTCCATTTTCTGACGACATGCATGCATGGGAGAATATTCCAATGGACACAGAGGCCGATTTCCCACTGATGGAGACAGTTCATGGTCCAACTATACCAACCAAGTTGACCATTGTACATTCCACTGGAATGTTTTTGCACAACATCATCTGGTGCAGCTGTCCTGGAGTTGATTGTCAGCAGTATTTGCAATTGCTGAAAGCTAAATTATTTCCAGCAAGTACCACTCAACTACAGACTGCCTTTACTTTTGATGTCTTAAATCATTTTCTAAGTGACGCACTGGAGTGCAAGACTTCAGCATCCAGCTTCTTTGAAAAAATCTGTAGCATGACCAATAACTGTTTCCCAGTGTAAGTCTTATAAGTCTTCTTGGTGAAAGTTAAACTAACAGTACCAATTTGTTTTTCTAGAATAGGTATCAAGAACTCATGAGAGTGTCTCAACTGTGGAGAGACTTGATGAGTCGAAAATGGTTTAGGTTTGCCCATAATGATGAGCAGAAACCGGATAAGAGTGATCTGGCTTGGTTTTGCCCTGCTTGTCCACAGCCTGAGATTAACCTACCTCCTGACTGGTAAGCCAGATATGAAAGGTAAGTCATTTATCCATGGTCTCATTCTAAGGAGAGGCAGCTCAATTTCTCTACCACACTTAAGAATATCATACTCACTGGCTAGCCCTACACTGCATAGTGTACAAGAGCTCCGGCCAGGCTGACTTATGTTCTAATCAAGCTAGCCAGCATGACATAGACTGGATGTAAAACCAAGCTAGCCAGCACATTAAATTGGCTTGCTAGCTTGACACAGATAGCATGCATAACCGTGCTGGCTGGTTAAACTGAGGTGCATAGATGTTACCCAAAGACATGCCAGCTAGAGTTAGTTCGGAGAGAGACTTCTACTTTATTTTTTGCACTTTTTTAATCTTATGCTTATCTATTTGTACAGTTGGCTTGTTTCACAAAGATATGTGGTAGATGGGAACTTCACTACTCAACATATGGTAATGAGAAAACCACAGTTGGACATTAGTTTGTCAGATGGGCTTGGGTATATGGTGAAAGATCAAGACAGACTCATCTGTCATTGGCTGTAGAAAGTAAAGAGGTGAGTTGGCTTATGATAACCACTTTTCTTTATTGCTTCACTATCTTTGTAGTGGTCTTCTTGCGGCAATTATCGTGCAGTAAATGCAGCCAATATCAGCAGGAGCAATCTTCAAGCTACAGGTGTAAGAGCAACTGCTTGTGCTCGATATGAATGTTTTGTTCCTTATAGTATAGTTGATTTTCAGAAGGGTAAAAGGTCTGTGTATATCCTCCAAATCAACATGTTATGCAAGCTTAGGTAATTTTTAGACACATGAATATCGACTACTTAATATGCAATATATTGAATTATTATTCAGCTGGTATAGACTCTTCCCTCATTATTATGATGTGGGGTGTCAGTGGAGCATTAATTTTCTACAGAAAGTAGCCCAGAGCAAGGGCTTGTCTGTATCTGAAAATATGCACATCGTTCCAGCAGTTGGAAAATTCCATCTTAGTGCTCATAAATTGGCTTGCTTTGCAAGGTACAGCCTCAACTTTATTCAAGGGGCTGGACATGTTGATGGGGAGATTTTGGAGACTCTGTGGGCACCATTCAATAAGATCTCCTCAACTGCTCGGTTAATAAGTCAGGCTCACCGTCAAGAAGTTCTTAATGATCATATGCAAGACAAACTGGAAAAAAATAGTGGGAATAAGTAAGCACTCCAAATTTTGCATTTGAACAAGCTTGACAATTGAGCTTCCAGTGAAGACTCTCTTGAAAAAGTACAAACTGGCTCTCAAAGGTGTTGATGACACAAAGTCTCCCTTTGATGAGCTCACTCTGTCTCTGGACTCTGAGAAGATTTTGATGTGGAAGATCAATGAGAAAAAGGCCATGGAACAACGTGGGGAGTATCTTGACATCTATCAGTTGCAGATGAACAAAGGTAAGTGAACTCTGTCTAGTTGTGAGGCTGCTATTCTTGTATAGACGTCTAATCAGTATTTGTATCTAGCTCCAACTATGGCAGAGATTAGACTCAAATTAACTGAGTTTGAGAATACCGACACTGGCAAACCTGGGACAGTCTCTTGACTCATTACTGGCATCAATCTGGAGGATTTACAGTATGTAACCAATACAAATAGAGAAACAGTTTGACATAGTATTATTTTAAGGATGGACTAAGGGCAGATATTTGACAACTTCCTACTGATGCAACCCAGGACAGAAAGCTTCTATAGAAGAGAAATGATAGAGATTGACAGCTAGGATTGCTAAATTTCATGAAATAGCTAATGTCATGACTGCTAGTATGGATCTTGGAACTGCAACAGTGCATTTCGACGATCCTAGATTCTGCTATGTAGGTCATGATGAAAATGGTTGGGGAGAGGTCTCAGATGAAGAGATCTCAGAGTATATCAATGAAGAAATCTTGGCTGAAGAGATAAGTATCTGAATGCCATCATCAGTGCCCTACCAGGATGCATTGGCTCTTGGACTGAGTCCCCTCCAAGCTGAAGAATTAGAACTTCGAAAGGGCCAAGCCAATGACTGCCTCAAAAAGCTCTGAATAGCCCTTGGTCATAAGGCCATCATCTATCGTCAGTATTTTTGAAGTGCTAATTCTACATGGGCTGGGACTAGGTCAAAGCAAAAAGCTCAACACTGTCAGCTCAAAATTGCCAAGTGTGTAAGAAGCTATCAGAGGGCAAGGTCAGCAATGGAAGGTCTAGGCATGGACAAAGCCACCTTGGGGAGTCTTTATCAGACAATATCGCCTACAGAGCTCAGTATAGACAAAGAGGTGACAGAAGAAAATATATTTGGACAAGGGTCAGACAGGCTGGCTTGGTTTTGGAGAGGAAATAATGCAAGCCAAGATCAAGACGATGCCTGGATAGATGAATGTAAGAAAAAATATTCATCTCTATGATATGTCACTAAAGCTCCAACTGATCTAGTCTACAGGGTGAACTAGTTGAAGGCTAAGGCTAGATAGAATAGATGGGAAGAGGAATTAAGGCTGGTAAGACATAAAATAGGTTAGACCATAAACTGGTTTAAGTACCACCAGAATGAATGGGAGAGAAGAGGTGGCCAAGCCACCAGACCTGGTCATCAAGCCTATACTTATTAGCAGGTCTTGATGTGGGGAAGATTTGTTGAGGAGGCAGAGATAACTTTCAATGGATGTCAATTTATATTTTGATATGGTATACTATCTTTGCTAGGAAAAATATGACAGGATAAGTCTTGATGCTAATAAATGACAAGGTAGCCTAGCTAGCACCAGCTCCACTCTATGTAGTCCACAGCTGGCCGAGATAATTGTATCTAAGATATGGACTGGCCAGATGGTTCCTACAGCATGTATGTACATGGCTAGCCCTTATAAGAGTATATAACTAGCTTATATCTACCCTATGCAGTTCATGTAATTCTGATACTAATAACTGGTTAGCCTTGATTCTACAATAGACAGAATCAAGTTGGCCGGTATGAAATGTTGAAATCAATAACTGGCCAGTCTTGATCATACATGTTGTAGGAAATATCTGACCACAAGTATCTGACCACTATACAAATCTGAAACCAATGACTGATCAGTCTTGATTGTACTATTGTATAATTAAACCGGTGGGAATGCAATATTAAAACTGACAACCGGCCAGTCTTGATTCTACATGCTGTAGAAGCTATCTGGCCAGTATGAAATTTTGTAACTAATGACTAGTATAAAAATTACAAACCAATAATTAGCCAGCCTTTATTCTACCGTTGTAGAATCAAACTGGCCAGCCTTGATTGTACTGTTGTAAAATTAAACTGGCCAGGATGCAATGTTGGAACTGATAACTGGCCAGCCTTGATTGTACTGTTGTAACATTAAACCGGCCGGGATGCAATGTTGGAACTGATAACCGGCCAGTCTTGATTCTATATGCTATAGAAGCTATCAGATTAGCCAATATGAAATTCTGTAACTAATGACTAGTATATAAATTACAAACCAATAATTAGCTAGGCTTGATTCTACTGTAGAATTAAACTGGACAGCCTTGATTGTACTGTTGTAGAATCAAACTGGCTAGGATGCAATATTAAAACTGACAACTGGCCAGTCTTGATTCTACATATTGTAGAAGCTATCTGGCCAGTATGCAACTTAATAACAAGTGACTGGCTGACTTGATTTTACAACATGTAGAACCAAGACTGGCCAGTTATCAGTTTTAATATTGCATCCTGGCCAGTTTGATTCTACAACAGTAGAATCAAGGCTGGTCAGTCATTGGTTACAGAATTTCATACTGGCAAGCTTGACTCTACCTGCAGTGAAATCAGGTCAGCTGACTAGCTAGCTGAATTCTATATCTTGCAGGCATAAAGCTAGCCACTACCATGCTCTCAATCATGGTAATCATTTATATATATATTAACACTCATACTCCGACCAGCTATATTATATATTCTGTAGGCATAAGGCTAGTTATTGTGTTTACAGTAATTTTAATATGTATATATCTACACCAGTCAACACTGATTCCACATACTCCAGCCAGCTGGATTTTGCATACTCCAGCCAGTGACTGGCTGGCCATGATTCTACAGCCTTTTGGCACATCCGGGGCCAGGGTTTTATATGGAAAGTGACTGAAGGGTCTGGGTCTAGTGGTATGCCAGCCACCCGGCCAGATTAAAGTGGAGCTTAATTCCCAATCATAACAGTGCTTACATAGACTAGACCTACTAGTAGAGCCTTACATTCACTGAACGTCTATGTGCATGACTAAAAAGGAAATCAACTGCTGCTTGCAAGAAGTCCTTCCCCATCACTATCGCTTATAACCTCTGCTATCAACTAAATCCTCCACTCTACATATATCTATGAAATGCTCACTAAGTCTATTCCAACCTCTGGCTACTTTGAGCACATTTCTATCCACTACTAAGGTGCATTTTCTCATCACTATTGATTACACATACTAAATCTTCTGTGATATATTGATGAAGAGTTCATTTTTCTGGTTGCTCACTTTCTCGTTGATGAATTTCACAAGGCTTGACTATGAACTCAACCACATTGCATCTCGGCACAGGTTGCCCATATAGAAGGTATTGGAGGAGTGGCTGGAGAGGTGGGAGAGCAGTAATCCTGAGAGTTGGAGGCAGTTGAATGGGATACCCTGCATCATGGGTGGTTTGACTGTACTGTGCGGTATGTTCTATTATCAAGCCTTCTGGAGAATTTCTGAAAATGTCATAGGCAGACTCGATGGGCGAGGGGGAAACTTTCCTTGAAAGACCCTGCCTACTGTTCTGGGGAAACATAGCTTTGTCCTCTACAACTATCCTGAAAATACTCTCATGCCTAGTGAGAGACGCAACACACTCAGAAAGAGCAAGGGAATCCATGACTTAACTCTTCATGAATGTGGTGTACTTGTGGATGCCCTCAAAGATAATGTGCTGAGCCTTCAATACTTCACCACCAATGATGCCTGCCGAAGACTCTTGGCCTCCTGCGACCCCATCATCTATGGCAAAGCTCCTGGACCTGATCCATACTGCACACATATATGTCACCAGTTTGTCGATTCTTATATTGATTGGAATAGACATTGTCATCTCATGCTATACAATACTTCTCCTGCACCTTCTCGTACTCATCCTGGCCCTTCCCATCATTATATCACACTGCATGAGACTTCTCCTATGCCTTATCATCTCATCCCTTCTCATCATCACAAACTCCACATGTTTGTAGAGGTTCCTCTTCCTCCACCCTCCTGGAGGTTTTTTGCTGCACAGCAATCCGCCACAGCAGACAATATGATGCAGCAACCTCCCTCACCTGTTTCTGCTAGTAGAGCTGACACCAGGGAGCTCATTCTGGCCATAGTCTGCCTTACTCAAAACTCAACAATGACAGATGGCACTGTCAATAAATTTGACAAACTTGTTGGGTTGCAGGAGAATTAAGTAGTTAAGTAGGTCTCATATTCTATACTCTAGACAACGAGCAGTGTTTTGTCAGTCATCATAGCATATACATGTCCCCTGCAGCAAGTAATACTTCTTGATTAGATGCAAAATCTGCTGACATCATGACTGTCAATTTTCTAACATTAGTGAACCAATGAGATTTAAGATACCAATAGTACTTATGTTCAAAGACATATGTGCACACAATGATGGCTGATTAAGCTGTCTGAATTGGCTTCGTCGACTCTAATGAGATGCCCTATCATGCTAATACTATATTTTCAACAAGAACATATCAATGGTAGCCATATTGCATCTTGACCAGTAAGTAGGCAGTATAGCAGTGTGATCTTTACATTAACTTTGGTTGACTTTAACAATTGTCAAACTTACTCTAACCATGGGCTGATGAGCAAAGTATTTAACATTAGAAGACACAATGGTGGCTGCTCGCCGACATACATCTGCATATTTACATTCAAAACAGTGAGGAAGTTTCTGCGCTTTGTCATTTCAACATTATCGATACATTTTTACAGAGGTAAAATCATGCAACAAGCTTAGGATGCTTGTGCTTATGCCAAATGTCATGGTCAATGTGGGCCTCAAACAACATCCAAGGATCTATTTAGCCCTCTAGCATCCATCTCACAATTCGCCACTGTCATATCCCGCGTTCCAGACCCGGACCTATCACACACATCATTTCCGGACTTCCGGATCCGACCGACTTCTATCTATCGTCCAGATCCAACCCGTGTCTATCTTCCATGCCTTATCCCTTTGTATGTTCCTTCTTCGGTTAGACTATACTCATTTTCCATACCTCATTTCATTTTCGCCTTTATTTTCCTATGTCTTCATCTCCGTCTTCATTTACTATTTTCCGATAGACTAGTGTTTGACTTTTCTATATGCTCCGTCCACAGCCTCGCATAGCTTCAGACTGCGCAGACTGACTCTCTGATAAGTCCTCAGTAGTATATAAACCCTGTAGAATCTTTGTATTTCCTTAGTTCGAATATTATCTTAGACTCTGCTCATTCCCTCCTCCGTCCGACTTGAGTATCTCCTCTCATCGTCCTCTGATAGTCTTAGGATCAACTCCTATAGACTTAACACCTCCGCTGTTTCCTTTCTAGTTCGGACATCGTCCGGATTAGTCTTATCCCTCGTTCCCGAACGTCCGCCGGAATTCCTGCGCATCGGACATCAGACTCCGGACCCGTCCGACAACCTTCGGACATTGTCCAACAGCCCTCAGAAGTTAGGGGCACATACTGGGGTAAGGGGCGCAGCGCACGAGCTGAAGCCAAGCCCTTCAGATCCAACCCTTGAGCACATTCTTAACAGCCACTCTTCCTCTTCCTGATTCCTATCTCTTTCAACAATCACTATCCAGTTCCAACTTGATTGATGATTCAGATCTCTCCCAGTGGAATAAATCATCACCTTACGATTATCCACCTCCACCTGACTCACCAGAAGAAGAGCACTTCACACAGAATCTATTTCATGTCATGCATGGACACCTTATGCGTTTGGAAAGGGACTCTTGCACTTGTCATGCAGCTAGATATGATGCAAGAGAAATAGCAGAGGTTTTGAAGGAGCTTCAAGATACTCAAAGGAGGCTGATAGGAGGCTGGGATGAGCTGGATAGTCATGTTACTAACATGCAGGCTTGTGTAAGACACAAGCTTATGGCTCAATGCTACTGCCAGGGGGTAGTGCGAAGGATCTTGACTTATCAAAAGGAGGTGGATTTACTAGTAGCCAAGCGGAATCTATACTGTAGTCTATGATACTTGTCAATGTTCTACCCTACTCTGGATCCATAACAGTAATTCAGCAATGAAAGAACCATAGTCTGAAGATAATGCTGGTGACCTGCACCAAACCGGTTCGGTGCATGGATGACTGATACTCTCCCATGAGCCCTATACCCTAGAAATTACCATGAAACCATTTTCCCCATGAACTGAAGTCAGACTGAGGCTAAGGAAATATTTTTCGCTTTTTTTTCACTTTTATGAGTTTGTACACGAGCGGACTGAATATTTTTGTACATTTAATTCTGCGATGAGTTTTGCTTAGTCAGCCATGAGGATGACTCAGACAGATTTTCACGCATATCAAGTGACTGTGAAAAATATGTTTGCATAAGGTTACCCTGTGGGAAAGCTTACAAATCACTAATTACGCGTCCTATGTCATTATGCTACCAATAAATTCATCAGCCACAGATTTCACAAACATATGTACATAATATGTAATCATTTCTCACTCTTGGCTAGCTGAGTCATCAAGGGTCACCTGACCCATGGGCCATACGCAGCTCTTGCTGACTCATCATTATACCAACTAGAATTATGAATATTTACTTTTGACCCAAAGACACCGTGTGACTTGGTACTATTGAACTAAAGTTACAACTTTATGTATGAGAAACTAGTAGTATAGCCACCAAATTTGTCTATATAAGGACCAACTTTTTGCCCAATAAATGCAGGCCCAAGTGCCACTTTTTCTCTCTCAGAATAAAATTGTGAGTGAAGTGTGAATCAGCATTCAGCAAGTGCAAGATCAAGGTTGAGCTCACTGTGCTCAACAACCAGCACAACATTTCTGAGCTCATTGTGCTGAACATCTAGCACATACCTTGAGCTCACTGTGTCTGATGACTAACAAAGACTAGTTTTTCTATTTATTTTTTTCTGATTGTCTGTCTGAATTTCTCTATTTCCTTTTGTGTCTTTGTCCGTGTCTCTGTCTGTGAATCTGAGTGACTGTGTGCTTGTTTGTTTTTCTCTCTGTCTCTGTCTCTGTCTCTTTTTCTGATTGTCTGTGATTTGTTTTTTTCTTTCTCTCTGTCTCTCTGAGAACGTGTCTGAGATTCGTGACTGTGAAACCACCCTCTCTGTTTCTCTGTTTCACTTTCTCTCTCTGTCTCAAGTGTGTGTGGTGTGTTGGTGACTGACTGTGTTGACTAACTCTGTGATCGCTGTCTCTGTGTGTTGTGATCGTCGTTGCTAACAGTCTCCGTAATTGCAATTGCGTTAGCATTTCTGTTGTAGCGGTCTTGTGTTGTTGTTGCCTTTTTCTATCAACTTTCTCTCAAGTACCAAAGTTTCAGTCTCATTCTTACCCAGAAGTTCGGTGTTGTCTCTTTTGTCCACGGAAGACTCTGATAGTCTAGTGGGGAGACTTTAGGTGTTGACAGTGAATTGCTGACCTCAGACATCTGTGTGTTATACTGGGACAGTGTGGTCATTTGCGAGTTAGGCTTTAGCTATTGAAAAGGGGACTTGGTATTGAAGTCCAAGATCACCTGTTCCTGAGTCTGTTTAATACTCATTGTGAGTTCCTTGGCAGCAGGTTCAATATTAGGCTAGAAGTGCTACGGTAGCTCTGAATAGGTCTGACAGTAGTCTCACCTGTTTTTGTTCTTGAGGGGGATTATCATTGTAACTCCACACAACTTGCTGCACTAAGTTTGTGTACAAATCATTGTTGCTATGTGAAGTGTTAGGAAGAGTGTCCTTTTGTTTGTTTGTTGTCATCTCTATATTGTTAGAGTGACTGTGATTCCTGATATTTTTGTTGTTGTGATTGTTGTGTTGTTGTTGATTGCTAACTGATCAAGTTCTGTGTTTCTCTCATCACTGTGTTTCATATCCATATTGTTGGATTGACTGTTGACTGTTGACTGCTGATCACTGATTTTTGTGCAAGCCATATTTTGCTGACTGTATCTTAGGAGCAAGGCAAGCCACCCACGAACGACCATGTTATCAGTCATTGGTATTTGTCTGAATCACTGACCGTGGAGATATTTGGTTTTATAGGTGTTTATCTATAGATCATCTATCTAAGAAGACACCGGAGGTTGTTCATGTCTTGCTCGTGCATTCCTGTAATATGCCTGCCCCATACAACAGCTAACATTGTAGCTAAAACCCATATACCACAGTCAAAATTGTTATTTTGGAGACATTCGACCTAGAAAAATAGTTGTAGTTAGGAATTTTATTGAGATGGAACGTGAAACTCACATTCAGAGGTCGAGCAACCCATCCTTCGAGGTCGATTGTAACATGATGTTCATGTTGGTGCACAATAAGAAGGAACCAAGCAATTAGTCTTATTATATCCTGCACAATTCAATTAACTGAAAAGAAATGCTTGGAATTTAACTCACTTTAATGTCATTTTCCCAAGACCGCCTATCACCCAGACTATCAAAAGAAAAAGGTTCTTATCAGACAGCCGAATGACACATAACACCCAGCCAATGCCTGATGGCCAATGAATTGGAAGCACTCAAATGTTCTTTTCCCAATAACAAATCCATGACGTGTTGCGCCAGATAACATTGTCTGGTGCATTGTAGTGAATGCAGGGAAGATCGTGAGTTGAGAGCATTGCACATTGTACACCAGATGTGTCAAGCTGAGAGTGCCACAAAAGTATGGCACAACTGTTGATGCATACATTGTTTAGGCGCACTGTGGGAGAACTAAGGAAACTAATGTCCCTAGGGTCAAATATCTGACTTGGGATTCCATCATTTGAGCTCGGTTGTATTCGAGCAACAATTTTGCCAGGTATGAGATTGCCTTGCTCACGTGAGGGAATGTGTAATGGAGGGCTGAAATTATCAACAAGAAGGTTCTAATATGATACATCAGTGCAACAGTCCCAACAATAAATTTTAATGTACCTCGGGAAGGTTCCAACAAATTATGGCATTGGTTTTGTGCCCATAAGCTGTTAAGTCATCATCCTCTAACTCTAGTGCGCTCATCTGACCCTCCAGAACATCAGCAACTGCTGCTTGTTCAGAATTGATTGCTGGAGAATGGTTAGGGTCGATAGAGAGTTCATCTTCACCCTCATAATCTGGCACAGCAAGTGTGCTAGCTTTTATCGTGTGACATGATGCATTTATTGGTGCTCCCAAGAGGGTCGCAGCAATGTCCAGTGATTTGTTGACTTGGCTAGTGAAGTGTACCAAAGTAGCTAATGAGTTCGACCATTGAATTTGAAGTCTGAGGAAATTGTCATGCCGTTGCTATAATGGAACAGCAAATGGTTTACCTAAAATTAAATTAGATGTTAGCAGAAGGTGATATCAGAATAATAAAATTAACTCCCTTTCTGGTAAACAAAGAGCAAGTTCAAGCACTGCCAACTCATTACCAAAAAAACAACAAAGGTTATCAGCTTCAATGCTGAGCCGAATCTGCTCCTCCTCGCATTGATCTTGCTTCAGAAGTGCATGTATGCCATCCCTCACATGCGAGTCTTCCAACCATCATGGAACCTTCCCAATGGATGGCATAATCCAGACGTCTTCCATCAATCTTGAGTCACTACATAGTTCAGCTAGTTTTGTGGGAAGAGGGGCAGGGAGTGGAATTCCTTAAGTTGGATTGTAAAGATACTCCAGTCATTCGCAGTAAGAGTTGAATTTGCGGATAGCGGTCATGAGGGCAGGTTGATGTTTTGCGATGGCTTTGCGGGTATGTTGATGTAGCTTAGTGCCTGCAGGAAATTGAGAAAGATACATAAATAAGAATGATTGACATACCTAAAGCTTGCTGTGCGCCACCAACAGCGAGATCAAGCTTGTCCCACTCAAAAAAACTAGCAATAGCACGTTTTGAGATCCCATGCCATTAAGAGAGTGCAAATGAAATTGAGATTAACCTCTTGAAGTTCAGGGAACCTCTGGTGAACATTGAGAGACAAATAAAGAGCTTCAACTTTATTCATTAGCTGGTCATGTCCCCTCTCAAGGCTCTCTAGGGCCTCTAATGTGTCACCAGAGAATGATTCTTTCTCAAGCATTGCTTGTGTGGTTTGTAGGGTCCTATCAGATGCATCCATTCAGCCTGAAGAACCAATACAAATACAGTGTCCAGTTCTTTCCTCAGGTGAGCGAGAGCATCTAGCAATATCACATATCAACATGAACAAGGCTCTAATGAATTGAACTCACAAGTGTGGATAGATAATTGGGAATGGCATTGGTGGGACCACTCAGTTTTCAATTCATTGACAGGGATCCCACATCATTCTAGCAGATCTTGCACTGCTGAACCTTGCTCCCTGATTCCCCATCTGAGGTGGTGTTTAATTCAATCACCAAGGTCATCTTGCATGTCTGAACCTATAGCTGCCACTTGTCAATCAATAAGCCACAGGCGGTGCTGGCGCTAAAAAGTCTAGAGTGAATGAGGACATAATTAAATTAATGTAAGACCTACAGAAGATGTCCTGTCAACACCAAGCAGCCAAACAAAATGGGACCAAAGTCATTCAGTCCCTTCCCCATCAGACAGGCCAAGCCCTAGGCACATCCACAGATTATAAACAAGCTGACAAGCCCACTCGTGACCATACACATGCATCGCAGTAGTCGCAAAACAGAGTTGTGAGGTGATAGCCTCAGAAAGAATGTCGTACTAGAGAGGTGTAAGTAAGTAATTAAAATTCAGGTCACAGTGTACCTTTGTGAGCAATCAGGCCAGAACACAACCAACATCATAAAGAGCAACAACTGTAGCCTCAGGTTAGAGCAATGAAAACAAGTGCTGAAGGAGGGCTATAGAATATTTTTGTTGTTCTCCTGGCGAATCAATATTAGCAAAGAACACTGGGATATCATGGCGACAAATCAGAGCCATGATCCCTGTGTCATCAAAATTGTCCATGGCAGCTTCCTGCTTTTTCCCATCAGCAGCCTCATAAGCAGTTTCACATTGATCAACAGCTTCATCAGGAACAATGGGAGTATGCAGCTTTGTGGGCTGCTTACATTGAGCATTTATCTGGTGGCCAATGTCGTCAACAAAGTGTTTGGGGATAAAGTATATAGGATTATAAAATGGTGGACAATCACCAGCAGCACAGCAGTGACGGTGATGGAAATTCCTGTCTATTGCAATATGTATATCACCCCCTTCATTGGTGGGCCTACCATATAGTACGCCACCAAAGCAGGCAGGACATCGCTAGACCAGAAGTTGTGCGCATCAACTTGGATACAAGGTGGATAGAAGGAGATTGTTGACATGCAAGGAGGTTTAAAAATCAGCCACATGATTGTGACTTTGTTGAACAATTGTTTCCAGTTGTTGTTCGACTTGAATTTGCAAAATGTCGAACTACTGGACAGCATAGCCGAGACCCCAATGAAATGGATCTTGGATAAGTTGACCCTTCAAAAGCTTTTTAGTAGTAATTTGAGTATGCTATTGAACCTTACCTCTGTATCAGTCATGTGGAAGCCTCGCCAAGAGTAGTGACTTTTTAGTGTGGAAGCAAGAGCATTAATCGCATTACATGAACATTCAAACAGTGCACAGTAGAATGCAAGCAAATCAATGGACACAGCCATCTGAGGCTGTGAAGGTGCAGTTGGGAATAGACCATGGTGTACAAGTACCTGTGGGAGAGTTAAGCATTTGCAACTTAGTACATCTATTAACACAAATCCTAAACAAGTAGCAATGCAAGCATTCTGTGATAGAGAAAGATACACTTATAGTCAAAAAACAAGCAAATCAAAGTTGTTCACTTCAATGTACATGAAGGCATCCCAGCACATGCAGATATGACCAGAAGGACATTTTCTAGGGCTTTTCCCTATGTTTGTCCAAAATAGCAGAGTTGAGGAGTGACAAGAGCTGGGATGAGTATACTCCAGTTACTATACAATGAAGTGGTCAATTTATCTGGTATAATGTGTTGTTTGACTGGTGTGTCGATGGCAGGAATATTAAGGGATGGCCTCTCCACTGTATCCACGTCATCAAAGGAAAGTGCCATAGCATCTTCAGTGCATTGAATGTGCTCAGCAGTATCATTGTGTGATGCTTGAGGAGAAGTCACCTGCAAATTTGGTTCTTTACATCATGGCTTCATAAGTTCCTTCATTTCAGCTAAAAGTCAGTGGTGTTTCACCCTTACACCCAGTAACTCAATAAATGTTTGTATTTTGCATTTGTCTTGAGCTTTTCTAGGGCTGACAAAGTGGGTTCCCAGTCCAGAAGACATGGGTTGAGCTTTGCAAGTAGGACGGAGTGTTGAGGACAACAACATAATGAAAGAAAGAACAGAAAGACATACCAGTATTAAGTGAATCTTCCCAGCCAAATCAATGGAAGGAAATGTGCTGGTACACAGGGAGGTGCTAGAGGCCCATGAGGGGATGTAATTGAGGTGCTGAGAGGTACTGAGAGGTGCATGACAAGGTGCTGAGAAGTGCTGAGAGGTGTACAAAGAGGTGCTGAGAGGTGCTGAGAGGTGTGCAAAGAGGTGCGCAGAGGTGCGCAGAGGTGCGCAAAGAGGTGCTGAGAGGTGCACGATGAGGTGCTGAGAGGTGTGCGATGAGGTGCTAAGAGGTACGCAAAGAGGTGGTGAGAGGTGGTGAGAGGTGCGTGATGAGGTGGTGAGAGGTGTACAACAAGATGGCAAGAGGAGGGAGGGCAATGATATGCACAGGAGAAGAGCGACAAGGTGCTGAGTGAAGGGTAATGGTGTGCGCAGGAGGACAATGGGGTGCCTAGAGATGAGGAGGGACGAGGTAGATATGAGATCGGTTGAGTATGAGCTAGAGAAAGACTTTTCCACATCTGTAATGGGTTTGGAGTGCAGGTACATGCATTCCTGAACCCTAATGTATGGGTCTACATTGATGTTCCATTGCAGAGTTGAGATTTTTCATCCGAAGATTTTTGAACTAAAATTGTTTAAGTGTCATGACAGTGCCATGCAAGCACACCATGACATACCTTGTGAAAACCAAACGATGGACAGCGTAGACAAGAGCCTAAGAGTTTAGATGCCAGATGAAGTAGTATAGCACTTTTAGAGGATTGGGAGAGTTCATGTAGGCACACGAGGATGTGCTGGAGGCCTGCAAGGGAATGCAAGAGCACAAACTATGATTAGATGGTGGATAAAGTAGTGCTAGAGCCCTATTGTGAGGGTTAATGGAGGCACGCAGGGAGGTGCTGGAGGCCCAGGAAGGAATACAAGAGCAAGAATTATAATTAGATGGCAGGAGGGTGGGTCTTAGAGACTAGTTTCCCATAACATAGAAACTGGGTCTCTTAGACCCTTTATAGGCACCGAGAAGTGCTGCCCGAGGTGTGTGTGGTAAGGCGTACTCAATCCTTAAGTTATCAGGTCAAGAGTTGTCAAGTCCCACCATACCTTAGAGCCAAACAATTTAGCCAACTAGGTGAGGCCCCATTTGGGCACCGCAGCCACAGCATTTACTAAACAATCATGTTCTCATATCATACAGTGTGCTCATTATGCAGCAAAAATAGAAGCTTCATGAGCTCTTAACTGTCTTTTCTGCTTCATCTTCTATGTTGCATATGTCACAATGCACTCGCCTCGAACTTGAGCACTTCATTTTCGCCAATGGTGACAATGATGACCACAGTCATTGCACTGCTGCATTTCTCAGTGCTAGACTTCAAGTACTTGTGAGAATTAGGCATATGGACGGGTTTTGAAAACCCGTGCAGGTGGCAGGTGTGGGTACCCCTTGGGTACGGGTGCGGGTCCGCATTTTGGGTACCTGGACCCTCACCCACACCTATGCTCGGGCCTGACTGGTACATTACCTAATTGAGAACTATAGCAGTACTTACACTTGTACTCAACTGCCTATTGCTAATACTTGCCTACCATAGTGTGCTATGCCCCTCCATCTTCTTCAACACAATGCCTACCTTTAATTTCCACAGACAAAGTGAGTGTAAGGGTCCTCCTTCAAGCTCGAGCCATGCTGATCCAAGTCGTTGCCCACTGTTCACAGTGAGTGAGTGTGTCGATCCTCATTGGAGCTCGAGCCATGCTGATCCATGTTGTCGCCCACTGTTCGCAGTCTGTAAGTCTGTCGATTCTTGTTGGAGCTTAAGCCATGCTGATCCAAGTTGTCGCCTACTGTACACAGGAAGTGAGTCCATTGATCTTCATTCAAGCAACAGTTGTGCTGATCCAAGTCTTTGCTCACCATTCGCAGTTGGTGAGTGTGTTGATCCTCATTCAAGCAACAGCCATGCTTATCCAAGCCATTGCCCACTGTCCGCAGTTGGTGAGTGTGTCAATCCTCGTTTGAGCAACGGCCATGCTGATCCAAGTCATTGGCCACTATTCACAGTTGGTGAGTCCGTTGATCCTCCTTCAAGTTTGAGCCACGCTGATCCAAGTTGTTGCCCACCCTTCCATCAGGAAATCAACCCAGAATTGATATGACCAGGTAGAGCTGACAAATAAAACTCATTATGATACATCTAAATATAAAATTATAAGTTATTATCTTTGCACAACACATGTATGACAAATATATGACTATGTCAGAGACACATCATTTTGATATGCACCTTACAAGTATGCAACAAGTATATGAAAGAATATATAGCTATACCAGGGACATGTCATTTTGACATGCACCTTACAAGTATGGAACATTATGATACATCTAGATCTACATCCTTCGAGTTCGAGCCACGCTGATCCAAGTTGGTGCCCACTGTTTGCAGTTTGTGAGTCCGTTGATCCTCCTTCTACTCGAGCCATGCTCCTGGTGAGTTTTTTAAAAATTGAACTCGCATATACTACAGCTAATAACATCTACGCCGTGTCATAGATCTACCCTATAGTATCTGTAATCCGTGGGTACACCCTTGATGGGTTGTACCCTGGGTCCTTACTTCCCTACCCACTGTGCTGTTGGATTACCAAACCTTTGTCATGGACACTCGGTACCGAATGTTTCCTTTGTACCTATATATATTCTCATTTATTCCCGCACCTCGTACTATCCTCAGTTGACTTCGTATGTCGCTGAGGTTAGTACCATCATAGTATTCAGTATCTACTTAACTAACAACATGTGTAGCTATCTGCTACAGGTATACCAATATAACTAGTTGACTTCGTACATCGCTGAGCTATCTGCTACAGGTTATGAGCCCTGCGCAACTATAGTGAAAATTTCAAATCAAGCGCACAAAGAAAAGACTCAAAAAGAAATGTCTACTTTGAACGGAAAACTCAGAGAGGACTTCCTTCATATCCCGAAGCTCGTCGCCAACGGAGAGAACTGGATGATGTACAAGGAGCGTCTACAATGGTCGATAGATGCTCGAGGGCTGCTCAGCCATTTGGATGGCACCAAGATGAAGCCTATAGATCCCCAGATGCTGCCTAACAGAGGAGTGTCGTGGGTACCTGCTACTCCAGACAAAGTTAAAGAAGTCAGTATGTACAAGACCAAGTTGAAAGAATGGCGCACAGGCCATGCCATAATGAAACAAAAAATCGTGGGAATGATTCCCAATTCCCTATTCATCCAAATCAAAAATCTCGACACAGCTAAAGAGATTTTTATGCACCTTTCGAGTCTATTCGAGCCATGCTCGCATGTAGTCTCCGTCGATCTATTGCACAAGCTGCAGGACCTAAAATGCCCCGAAAAGGGCAATGTATGTGAGCACTTCGACAAGATGCGCACCACAAAGGAACAGTTATCGTCATTGGGCCATGCACCAACAGATGAAAGTTTTGCCGCAATGATCATGAGCTCATTGCCAAGCAGTTATGATCCCACCTATCAGTGTTAACGGCGTCAGCCAAAGTCTCCAGCGTCAAACTTACCTCCGACACACTGATGTCAATGATTGTTGAGCATCAAAGTCAAAAAAGGCCGGATCTTCGAGCGATGACGCAGCCTATAATGTAAATGCAGGTCAACGTACTCGAAAAATAAAAGGAAACTGCCATAATTGCAGCAAGTACAGACACATGCAGAAGGACTGCAGAGGTCCTGGAGGAGGAGGAGCATCAGGAGGCAAAGGGAAACCAGACTGGAAAGGCAAGGACAAGAAATCCAAAACAGCCGCCAGTGCCAAAGACAAGGCAAATGACGATGAACCTGAAGGAGTGTGGTTAGTGAACAAAACAAGCTCAGAAGACAAGAGAACGTCATTCACATTTGCCACACTCATGGACTTGAGCAGAAAGCAAGACACTTGAATCGAACTGTTTGACTCAGGAGCTTCGCGCCATATGTCATCATATAAGGACCTATTTCAGGACTTTGTCAGCATCACACCAAAGCCAATAACAACGGCAGATAAACACACCTTTCAAGCTACTGGGAAGGGAAACATAGAGATATTCCTACCAAATGGTGAATCAAAAACTCGTATATTGCTGAAAGATGTGCTCTACTCACCTCAAATGGGGTTGACGCTAGTGTCCATTAGCCGCCTTGCATCCGCCGGGTATGCAGCATTGTTCCGCAAGAACTCGTGTAAAATCTTCAATAAGAAGAAGATGATGGGGGAGATACTGGTAAACAAAGGCCTATACTGCATTAGAGGCCCAAAGAGACCATTTGCCGGCGCAGTAAACACAAAAGAAGCACTCACC